CCCTTCCAGGTGCGGTACCGGCCTACCCGCTACTTGAGTGCTTTTCCCCGCTGCAACCCCTCAATGTCACGGCCGCAGGTAAGTACCGGCCCTGAGGGCCCAATGAACGAGCAAGTGCCCTGACGGGCCACACACATACTCGTTCCAACCAGCACTCAGACAGGTACGGTCACACACACACCCAAGCCAACCAACACTCAGACCGACATGCAGTCCAGCAAGCGTGCACACACACACTCAGGCCAACCAGCACTCAGACAGACATGCAGTCCAGCAAGCGTGCACACACAGACTTAGTATCAGGCGGGAAACTCAGCAAGGCATTCAGTCTATGAGCCAAACTCAGAAATCAGCTGTGTGTTTCAGTCCATGTTTGGACGGGTCATCACACTACTCCCCCTTCAAGAGCGAGGTCCCTTCGAGCGAGTAACTCATTCTGAGTCCTCGACAAACGCATCGTAACCGAGCAAGGCAAAGAGATTCCTAGTGTACTCTGTTGCAGTGAGTTTGGCAGAGATTTTAGGTACAGCGTTAGAGGCGATTTGTCGCTTGTATGCTTTGACAACACGCGGTGCACTGCGTAGCAATTACTGTTTGGAAATCCAATACAGATCGTCTAGTGGGTGATACATGAAATGAACCTGGTACTGTCTGTTGCGTCCCTTCCCTACGTGTTGTTTGATCCTGTCTATCTCATGCCCGCCTCTGATCGCGCAAGGGATCATATCTTCGCGATAATCGAATGTCTTAGCATCACAGTGTAGGTACAATTTGGATGCGTGGAACACGGGGTATGTGCGCAGATGGGCTGGCACATCAACGACATACGAAGGGCCAAAGTGGTCTTCGCCAATCACATCCAAAACTTCCCAGGGCCCATAATAGAGAGGGAGGAGTTTGCGGGAGACTCCCTCTTCTTCTGAGAATTCAGACATCTTGACCCAGACATAGCTTTCTACCTCAATGTCCGACGGTCGGCGCTTCTTGTTCGCATGATGGATCATGGCGTGTTGTCGCTTGGTCATAGCTGCAATGGCAACTTTGAGCAAGCGATCATATTTGGCCCTGAAGCCAGGCCTGCCGGGTGTTAAACCAGTCGGCTGCTCAGGGAATAGGTAAGAGAGCGGATTCCGGATCTGCCAACCGTAATGCAGCCTGTTGGGTGTCATGCCGGTGGCGGAGTGGACGGAGTTGCTGTATAACCCCTTAATGGAATACAGCTCTTCATCCCATGTTTCCTGATCGGGGATAATCAAAGCGCGAAGAAGTTGAAACACAGTCTGGTTGATCTCCTCAGCCAAACCGTTGGCTTCGGGGTGTCGGCCAGATGTCGCACACAGTTTGATCCCCAGTTCAGACGTGAAGTCCTTCCATTCAGTGCTAATGAAGCGTGGATCCCGATCGCTCACAAGAGTCTTCGGGGTTCCGAACTGCACAATGTACGTCTGTTGGAATTCACGAATCACTAGTTCTGTTGGGGCATGAGGCGGCAAAGGGATCAGATTGAGGAACTTAGAGAATCGGTCAACAATCACCATGACCTGTGAATAGCCATTCTTACTTACCTTTCCCATGTCGGTGAAGTCGATGGAGACAGACTCCCCGGGACCATCGGGAATGGGTAGGGGTGTGAGTAGCCCCATCGGCTTTTGTCTGCATGGTTTGATTCGTTGACAGACTTGACATTCAGCCACAAACTTTTCAGCAGTCCCTTTCATGCCAGGCCAATCAAACTGTCTCTGCAAATTTGCATACGTTTTTGCCATGCCGAAGTGTCCGCTCCGGCCACGAGCCACATCCAAAAAGTGTGTGCGGAGAGGCTCATGGTTGGGCACACACAAACGGTCGTGGTTCCCGTAGCGATGAAAAATCAGTCCTCCATACTCGTGAACATGGTAGTAGCCGCAGAAGTAGTAGATGGCACATGGGTAGGACGAACAAAGGCAACATACAACTGTTCTTCCTCCTTGTGCTTCCGCCATTTCTTGCAGAACTGCATTGCATTCAGAAAAGTCACTGGGGACTCGTGCTTCTCATCCAAGAGGACAAAAAGTTCGTTCCCTCTAGCATCTTTGATCATGAAAAGTGACTCCTTCCACCTGGTCCATTGGCATGGGGACTGCAGCCAGCCCAAGCCAAGGACAGCGTCGAAGGGACACTTGTCAAGAACATAGAAGTTCAATGCGTGTCTGACAGTTTTACCCTTGTCAAAGGTAGTGCGCACACCTTTCGACAACATGCGTAGAAGAGACAACTTCTTTGTTGCCAACTTGGGTCCGGCAAGGGTTCTGCAAGGCCACTTGCTTCATCCCCAAGCCCACTTTGCGTATCCCGTGAGGTGACATGAAGTTAGTCGTAGCACCACAGTCCACCAAAACACGGAGATAGCGGTGGTTTATGAGAAGTTTGAAGAAGATCAACTTCACCGTCCCTTGGGCACGCTGCTGCTTCATCTCAGCCCAATGCTCCAAGTGATAGTGAAAATCGACCGTCCCAGACTCCTCCCAAGGCTCGACATACAAAACATTACTCACCTCAGCCTTGTGTTCAGCAACCCAGCAGGACAATCAATACCATACACACATACATGGGCATCCCGTAGGTGCACGACACTTACCTGAGTGGCCTTGAGCTTCGAGATGAAGAGAACTCACCCCCCATGTGGTCCTCCTGACCCCTCTAACGCTACCCCTACACTAGTGTCCTATCTCCTAGGAGGGTGTGACTCCAACACCCAAGTGCAACACCGGATCCCCCGTCGATGTTGAAGAACAAAGTAGCAACTTGCAGTTCGTTCATGCAGAGTGGTCGCTGGCCACAAGCTCGCCTACTTGATGGCAGCCCTTAGGTTGCCAAGTGTCTCCCTTGAATCAGATTCCAGGTGCGAGTGCCTCTCACTGTCGCCTCTCTCAAATCGCCGCATGAAGTCTCCTCGAAATGTCTCGCCACCCTAATCTCACTCTCAAGCAACCTGGTTAGGTTCTATGTTGACCCCACATGACCTAACCAGGTGGGGGCAGCTTCCCTCAACCACGCTGCCCCACTTCCCTCAACCAACCAACCCTAACCCTAACTGTTGCCCTCAACCGCTTAGGTTAGGGTTAGGGCAGCAAAGTCAACTCTCACCAGCAAGTAGAATCCGCTCTGATACCAATGTTATGACCCTGGCCAATTTCGAGATACACATCCACCGGAAAGTACAATGCCATCCAATTGCAGACAGAAATGAATGAACTTGAGAGGAGAGAGAGAGGATTAGAAGAAGAAGAAGAAGAAGTAAGAAAGAAGAAGAAGAAGATGTACACCAGCAAAGACAATGACAAGGCTCTTCTTCTTCGCCCAACAACCTCCTCCTCCTTATCTCCCTCCTCCCTTATTCATACAAGAAATAATAATACAATGTTGAATGACTGGTCCAGAATCAATGTCCGAGTCCCTCTTCTACTGCAGGTATCACTCAAGGTCCACCATAGCCATGGCCGCCTCTTCCACTCGTCACTCTCATAGGCCGAGGCTATGGCGGACTACTAGGCCTTGCCCAAATGCCCAAAGGACAACCCAAAGCAGCTATGGCTGCTCTAGCTCAGGCCGCCATGCCCAACCCTGTCTTGAAGCTTCTTGGTGTGGCTCTCCCCGGCTGGGGACTCCTTGCTGCAGCGCCCACCCAGGTGATGAAGATGGCTGCCACCATAGCCAGGTAAGTACCCCTGGCGCTCCTCCCCCTTCCTTCCTCCTTCCTCCTCCTTCCTCCCTCATGTGCTTCTCCTTCCTCCCCAGCAGCGCTGCTCCAGCCAGCGCTCCACCAGTGTGTTGCCAAACTTGCACACCGAATAAGAGGCCGGGTCTTCCGCCCGGCCTGAAGATATAGCGGCCTGCTTTGCCTCTTGGGCGGTGACTTCCAGGTCGCTGGCCTTCCCAAGCAACCGGTACCTCCTCCTCTTTTGGAGGGAAACATCATTGCAGACTCTGATATTGCCCCTACAGGCCCTAGACTCAGACTGGTACCCGCTAGACCTAGCCTACACTACCGGCCTCCTCTAAAAATGCCACTTTTGCCTTCTTCTGCTCGGCCTCCGGTACCTGCACATCTACCCCTTCCAGGTGGGGTACCGGCCTACCCGCTACTTGAGTGCTTTTCCCCGCCGCAACCCCTCAATGTCACGGCCGCAGGTAAGTACCGGCCCTGAGGGCCCAATGAACGAGCAAGTRCCCTGACGGGCCACACACATACTCATGCCAACCAGCACTCAGACAGGTACGGTCACACACACACCCAAGCCAACCAACACTCAGACAGACATGCAGTCCAGCAAGCGTGCACACACAGACTTAGTATCAGGCAGGAAACTCAGCAAGGCATTCAGTCTATGAGCAAAACTCAGAAATCAGCTGTGTTTCAGTCCATGTTTGGACGGGTCATCACACTATAATGATCAGGCGTTCTATTCAGGTGA